CCTTCTCCCTGAGGTTTGTCATCCTTCTCCCTGAGGTGTGACATCCTTCTCCCTGAGGTGTGTCACCCTTCTTCCTGAGTTGTGTCATCCTTCTCCCTGATGTGTGACATCCTTCTCCCCGAGGTGTGTCACCCTTCTCCCTGAGGTTTGTCATCTTTCTCACTGAGTTGTGTCATTCTTCTCCCTGAGGTGTGACAATCTTCTCCCTGAGGTGACTATCCTTCTCTAATGGGTATGGCAATTCTTCTCTCTAACATTTCATCACCTGCATGGTTTATTGCAAATTCTACAATAGGTACGACCCAGTGTAAAGAAAACTGTTTTATCAAACAGTGCACTGAGAGCAATATGGAATGAAAGTGGGATGAGACCGTTAAGCRGATTATTGGTCTCTTAAACAAAGGTAAAAGGTGCTGCAACCATCGCAACCTACGAGGGCATGACGTCATAGCGACATCATCCACCAACTATGACGTCACAATACCTTTAAAAAATGCATAATGTAGAAGAAAAAGTCGTCAGCGATGTAAAGTAAACGATTTTTATTATTCTGGATATATTATAAAAATATGCTACATTACATGACAAACTGAGAGAAAAATAAAATGAGGAAAATCTCAGTAGTCTACAAATGATAACTTACAAGAATAACTTATTTCATAAAAAAAGATATGAAGGTTGTTAAGGCTTCAAAAGTAGATAGAAGTTAAATAATCAAATTTTGAATTTCAAATGTATATACAAAAAGATTTTAAAAATAGCTAATTATATATGATTTAAAACACTCATTAATAATTCATAAGCTTATGGTCCAATTGGAGCCACCATACACGTCACKTGCATGAACCTTTATACCCGATAAAGTCCTCTTCATTAGTATTCAAGTGATTTTATATAAAGACACATGTGTCTTCATATAAAGACACATGTGATCTTTATATAAAGACCACTTGAATACTATGAGGATGACTTCATCAGGGATGAAGTATGCATCCAAGTTTAGATGAAGATATAGAGCTTCATCAAGGTCATAGTCAACCCTAATGATCTTTGACTAACGTTCCTGTCTTTGCCTTGGCACGCAATACCCAATGTGTGGGAGCTTCTATTTAATCTAGTTGCACATGCCCGTGACGTCAAATCTCTATGTTCGTGACGTGTATGGTGACTCCAGTTGAACCAAAATCTTATAAATTGTTCATGGGTGTTTTAAGCAGTTCAAAAAACGCGTAGATCGCGTTTTATCAGGTATAAGAGCACTTGGCTACGCCTCGTGCTTTTATACCTGATAAAACACTCCTACTCGCTTTTTAAACACTACATACAAATTATATAGACAGTCCAGCTTTAATGACTGAATTTGAAAATAATCAGTGGCTCTTGGAGCCAGCCAGTTGTTGGTTATATTAATGGCTTCACATTGTTGAGATCCAAGTCCAATGTAGTTTATAAAAATAGCTAATTATATAAGATAAATACAAATCATATAGACAGTCCAGCCCTAACGACTGAATTAAGAAATAATCAGAGGCTCTTGGAGCCCGTCAGTTGTTGATAATATTCATGAATGGCTTCCCATTGTCGAGATCCAAGTCGGATGTGAGGTCTCTTGGCCTGAATGTAGGAATGTGCTTGCATTGGCGTCATTGACATTTTCTAGAGCACAAGAAAATATATAGAGCAAAGGATAAGACAATGATTGAAACAATTTAATTAGCTTTCATTTATATCTGTGGAGTAATCTCAAGAAAAGCCAATCTGGTTTCTATCTTCATGAAAGCTAAAAAGGGCAATAGACCTTAAATCCCATTTCAGACCATGCATCTCCCTATAGTATCTTTTCATGGATAGAGACATTGGGTTTTCCAAGGTGTTAAAAGAGGTCTTTTTCATTGCAACCTCACCCGGAAGCACCGGTGGTGTGCGCTGCCGATGTGCCGCCTCTCACCAATGCGGCCCAATCTCGATGTTGTATGTGAGTAGAGTTGTTTGTTGGTTCTCTTTTGTGCTTCGAGGGTTTTTCTCCGGGTTCTCCGGTTTTCCTCCCTCCTCAAAATTCAACTTCTAAATTCTAATTCGACCTCTGGGCTTTCACTTCACTTGGAGCCTACAGTAGCTCTTTTGTGATTGTCTCACGCTGTGATACAACAGTGAAAAGCTTTGTAGATTTAGATTTAGATTCATCTTGCTTCAATGCAAATGCACAACTACCTTTCAAGATGGTGCAGGAAACTGTGAAAGGAACCAATGAACTGCCCTTAAATTTATTATATTTTATAAAGTCCTACTTTGACATGGAGCCATGGTTATGCCATAAAGAAATCAACCTACCTTCATAAGATAACAAGCTACTAGTGTTGTACTTCTTCCACGTCCAGCTTTGCAATGCACATACACCGTGTTTCCCTTTGACGTCATATCCTCTAGAAACTCAACTCCTTTCTTTAACATCTCCTGTGGTGGTGCATTATTGAAATCAACTGTCTCAAGGCGCAACTGCGTTACTCCCCAAGCTGACCACTCCTGAATCAAAATAAATTAATTTTCTAAAATTTATTTTTCCTATTATCACTGATGAAGAACGAGCATACAGTAACATTGTGATCACATATTATCATTGATGCGATTTAACAAACTGTTGATGGTTTAGCATGGTATGTTCTTATATTTACCCCAATATCATGTCAACAGTTGGACAAAATGTTACTCTCTTACCTCAGCACTGTTCGAAAAGTATTTTGTCTCATATTCTTCATTTAATGTGACAACTGCCTTCACTTTTTCTTCTTCGACAAGCTGCAAAAAAATCATAAAATCAATTTGTCACAGTTTAAATTTTTATAGTGAGAGACAGTTTGAGGAGGGAATATTGTGTAAATTATTCAAGAAAATATCCATACCTCCCCCATATGGAGGGGGATTGCAATTTCCAAGGGGTGGGGAGGGTCTGAGAAAGGTACATTGTGTAGTTACAATATCCATTCCTTCCCCGTTGAGGGATAGGGGAGGGTCTGAGTCTCGGGGAGGGTACTACCCTATATTCGCTATACGGGTACGTGTCGCCAAACAGGGTATGGTTTTCAGCGTTTTCTCTGGAACAAGGTATACAAAACTGTGCTCGCTCTGGGACAGGGTATATGAAATCACACTCTCTCTTCGTAATACTCGAACAGGGTATGATTTTCAGCGATCTTGCTCTGGACCAGGGTATCAATTTCAGCGATTTTACTCTGGAACAGGGTCAGGGTTCATTGGGCTCAGTGGCACATCCCTACCCTAAACAGGCAAGAGTACCCCCCAGGGTCTGAGTAGCATATATTGTGTAGTCCAAGAAAATATCCATACTTCCTCCATAGAGTGGGATTGGAATTTCCAAGGGGTGAGGAGGACATGAAATGAAATGGAAAAACTTTCTTGTCATGCCTGTAAAGCTGAAACAGTCTTTTGATTTCATTTTTTAAAACAACAAGTTACGCATTTTCTTAATTTAGTAACAGGGGAGTTTTTTTCCGCAACAACCTTCACTTTCAAATAAAAGTCCCAGTAGAAGGAAGCTAACGTGAATTTGATGAAGATCTAATTTCTCCTCGCCATAATACTTATAATATTATAATCCTTAAGGGAGAATATAAATATCTATCTTAAATGGCGAATTGTTTTGTTGACACAAATATAGCAATATCTTATAATAAACACTATATATTTGTGTTAAAATATTTTTATATTAATAAACTTAAACTTAATCATCATTTTATGAAAATTATAATCTAATAAAATAGGAAAAAAATATAAGTTTTTACATGTGTAGGAAAAAGCTTTAATACATTAATTTATGAATATTTCGAGTTTTGTAGCTTTGTAACTAAATATCTGCCAAAATAAGTTTATGTTGATAATATTTACCTGTTTGGTTTGGCTTTTAAAAGGTAAAGCTCCTAAGATAAGAGTAGAATCAATTCTGTCGTACCATCTTCGTGAACTACTCTCCATGACCACGTTCCACAAGAGAGTTGGATAAAATAAAATCCTTGCTGAAAACGCCGACGACATCATGAAGTTATTTGACACTGTAATCCAACTAAAAACAGATTCACTCTCTACTTTAGCGTCTCGCATTGGCAAGAAAGCAAGATGTGGAAATATAGAGTAACAAACGAAGTGGAATTTCAAGAGGTTTCGAGTGTTTTGTTTCAGTGAAACTTGAAACTGAAACTGAATAAAGGTAGTAATGGGTATCCTGTGTTATTTGTGACCTAGAGAAACTGAGAACTAGTCATCAAAAGTATCTCGTGCTCTCTTGTGCTATAGAAACAGGAACCCCACATAAGAGAAACTTATCTCTTTTCCCCCCGTAAACGACTTAAATTTAATGCCATTTCCCCTAAAGTCAACAGCTGAGATTTTGTTTTATTACTTTTTTCGTTTGTGTAGGTCATTTTGAACAATTTTGAATAATCACGACTGCTCGATTTAGGGAGGGGGAGGGTCACGTGATAAAGTAGTAAGAATTACAGTTTATAGTAAAAGTAAAAATAACTAAAAAGCTAATCGAGCTGAGTAACTACAAAATGTTCTTTAAACATTAAAACGGTCCGCAATAAATTATTCGTCAGATTTTTAAATAAATGAAATTTTAAATGAATCTGTGGGGAAGGGGAGGGGGGCAAGAAAAAGAGAAAATAATGGTTTTAAAAAACCGATCGCAATGCGTACTGCAAGGAAAAATGGAGGGAGGGAGGGAGGGAGCAAGGAAGGAAGGAAGGAAGGAAGGAAGGAAGGAAGGNAAGGAAGGAAGGAAGGAAGGAAGGAAGGAAGGAAGGAAGGAAAGATAAAAGGAACTGTTGTAAATTTGTTTGGGTTGCCTGTCTTAAAATGTCCATAAAGACTCAAATCCAGTCACCAGTCCTGCGCTTATTTCTACCCAAAGCTAACCCAGCGAAGCAAATTCTTTGATAATTTCTCCAAAATCAATTAATAAGTTTCACTAATGAAAAGATACGATTTTGTTTAAGCTCACAAATAAAGAAATGGCTATTTTAAAAAGATTATGTAATGTCACGTTTGTGATTTCGTGATGAAGCGTGACGTGTCACTCACTTGCAAACGAGGTTTGCTGTTGTTTTGATCAAAGGTTCTTCTTTATCGAATATATTGTTTTTGTCTTCGTTCGTGTGATCTTTAAGGATATTGCGTTCTCTTCGCCTCAGCTCTCTAGTTGTAGATGATTTGAGTCATGGAGAAGCAAGAATACGAAGAAATCTCGCTAAAGGAAGCTTTACTAGCAAAATACAATGATGATCAGTTCGAAGTCACTAACTTGGCCCACATTAGTTTTTCTCCCAAAAGAAAAGGTAAAACCATTACGTGTCCTTCATTGAAAACCGTTCGTGACTTCTTCATAAAAAAACTGATGTCGTATTGTTCTTGAACGATGCTTCCCTTTTCCTTCACTTTCAGCAAACGCACACAAAAAAAAAATTCAGACATTTTAGTTTGATGAAAAATTTCTGATTTTAAATTCAGCTTTACTGTCAGTTGTATTCACAGCGTATTTCAAAGACGTTTTCTTTARATTAGCTCAGCTTTTTAACAAAGAAGTCTATTCTTTGTTAATAAATGTCGAATATACTAATAATTTTGTTTTATTTAAACGAAATGTTTAACAATCATTTCAAAAATGAACGCATTTTTTGTTCAAAACCGTTGAGAGTAATTCCAACTGTTGTCGAACAAAATTTCACTATTTCTTTACCTTCTCTTTGCAAATAAAAATGGTTTTTCATATTATCAAATTCTTGTTAGATTTAGAAGTGTGAAAGTCAACACTTCAAGAAAACGCTGCTGATTGGTATTCCAATTTTTTACAAAATTTATTCCAAGTTTCATAAATTGTTTTGAAATTTAATCCAACATTTTTCTTAAAATTCAATTTTTAGCAATGTTTTGTCATTAAGGAGCTCAAGTTACGAAATTACAAGCTAACTTAAAATTATAAAGTAAAAAAATTCGGTGCAAAGAGAATTAAAAGAAAAAACACAAGTTTGGTGCTTAAGGTGATTTGAAAATGTTCATGGAAATATTTTAAATTCAAAAACTATTTACCACTAAGGTGAGGTGAGCATTGAAAATTAAAATAGGCAAAATTGGAAAAATGTGCAATGTTTATTCCATTCTTAATTTCTGTTTTATCAGCGGCATTGCTCAAAGCCATGGATTACTCCAAGAGAACTGTTATAGCCCTAGATGACTGTGGTGTAACCTGCGCAGGGCCACCACAAGAGGTGGCAGAGTTATGTCCAAACATAGAGGAACTAGACCTTGGGAATAATAACATCACACAATGGAGTGAGGTGAGGGACTATCATCTTTGAAAATCTTGGAACCAAATAATACCCTCTATTTTGCCTTCCTCTGATAACTTACAGCTGTTTCTCATAATCATAGTGAAGATACATTTCCCTCTGTTAGAGTGCAAATAATATAGGATGAAATAGGAGATGGTTAGCGCTTAATTAGACAAGACATAGGAATTCAGTGAGGCATGACAAGGGCATGGGCATTTACTAGAGTGACAACTCAATACGCGAATGAATAGATATGAAAATGTGAACGTCAAATATACAAAGGAAAAGCATTTACAACAAAATATTGTTTCAGTTTTTGTAAGTGTGTTTAAAAATAAAAAAATGCGTGCCCTTGAGTAGCACACATGCACTAGTTTACCTGTCACGGCTCGCCTATTTTAACTAATTAGACTTAGGCAACCAAAGGTTAGTAATTAGTTAGCTTGAGCTATCTATTTCATGGGTATATTATTTGCACTCTAACTTATGATAATGCTGGCCTTATAACTCAGCTTTTAAAACAAAGCTAAACTTGTATATTCAATTTACTTGGTTTAGACTTTTTTGATAGTTTAAGTTCCTCATTTACCCATTTGATTGATTTTGCCTCAATTAAACCCCATCAATATTTGCCATTTTGTATGTACCTTTGTTACTTTATCTTTGTATGTACGGAGATATACAACAACAAACTAGTTAGACCTTATAGCTAGTGTGACTACGTACTATAACCAGGGCCACTTAGACAGAGAGAACCAATAAAATTGTAGAATGAAAACAATATTCCAACTTTGGGGAGTGGAGCCAATCAGAAAGCAGCAAAAAACCTTTCAATATAATCTTTTTTATTCTCATGAGAAAATGAGGATAGCTATGGGGTTCAGAGAAAGAACGAAAATTACAGAATAGACCAGTTTCGAATTCCAAATTACCCCTGTGTTCCTTTGTGTTTTTGAGTATTTTCTAACAGATTACAGACTCATTTGCACAGGGTTAGCCTCGTATCAGTGTTTAAATATTCACAAATACCGATTGTAAAGTAAAGAATGCACAACTTCAACAATACGAACACTTTGAAACTCGACGGACCTTGACTGGAACACGTGAATATTCTGCACAAACTCTAGGCTAACCCTGTGCAAATGAGTCTGTAATCAAGAAACACAGCGGTAATTTGGAATTCAAAACGGGTCTATTCGTATGGAAAAAAAATTGGAATTTCTGGGGTTGGGTGGGGGGGAGGTGAAAAAAATCCTCTGTAAGGGGTACAGATAATTTCTGGAACCACACATTGCTTATTGAGTATTTTCACCTATTGATTGTCATAGGGTATCACAGTACATATTAATTGTACCTAAATATGAATTCTGGATAAAGAAACCTGTCAGTGAATAAACAGCAAAATTAATGCCTTGTATTGCCTAATATCATTTTTTTTACTTTTTTGCCAGGTTTTTTCCATCATTTCTCAACTGAAAAATCTCTCCATTTTAAACTTGAGTGGAAATCCTTTAACAGATGATAAGACTGAGATAGCTCACCAAGCTGCTGAACTCGACCTTCCCAGCAAACCCTTGCCTCTTAAACAACTCGCGCTCAATAATACTGGAATATCGTTTGATGCAGTCTATGCTCTTCTTGACTGCTTCACCTCGTAAGTTAAAAGTGACAATTTTTTTTATCTGGTGAATGCCACTGTTTTCCTTGACTACAGACTCATTTAATATACACTTGCCTCTCTCCTTGCTCAACACTTGGCCGATAATTGGCCAAGTATTACACAGTCAAGACATGGCCGATAGTCAGCCAATGCTCGGTCAACACATGGCTGATAGCCAATGCTCGGTCAACACATGGCTGATATTCAGCCAACAGTCCAAAAAATTGCAGGCTTACCCTCTTCCTTGATTACCGGTTTTTTTCCAGGTTTACTGGTGCAATTAACCCAGAAGTTTGACTGTTTCAAGGTTCAATAAAATTTGAAGATTTAGCCTTGTTTAAGAATGACTTGTGTTTTTTCTTGTTCTAGGTTAGAGGAAATATACCTCAGTCTCAACGAATACTCCCACATTCCGTCCTTAGACAAACAATTCCCCAAAGTCAAACGCCTGTACCTCAATGAACACAACCTCACTGAGTGGACCGAAGTGAAGAATCTTGGCAAAATGTTTCCATGTATGGAACACCTCATAATGACGGACAGTTCTCTGGAGAACATCCTTGAGGATGATGCTCAAAATCTCTTCCCTGCTCTTAGGGTGCTGAGCCTGAATAAGACTGGAATCTGTTCCTGGGAAAGCATTGATGCTCTGAGAAGGTTCCCCTCGCTGAAAGATATTAGATTACTGGGGATTCCTTTAATGGACGAAATAACTGATGACAAGGAAAAGAGGCAGCATCTAATCGCAAGGTTGCCTAATGTCGTAAAGATCAATGGGACAAAAGTGGGAACAGAAGAAAGAGAAGATGCTGAGAGATTTTTTATTCGATGCTACATGGACGATCAAAACCCTCCCAAGCGGTTACAAGAATTGATAGAAGTTTACGGCGTCTTAGACAAACTGGTTGACATAAACTTAGCCCCAAAGATTTTTGCAAAGCTTTCTATAATTTGCGAAGGGCACTCAACTTTAACCAGGGATGTTGACTTGCGACAGACAACCAAAGACTTTAAGAGTTACATCAGTAATGAACTAGGTATTCCTAAAGGGAAGCTAGCATTGTTTTTTAATGACGTCGAGAGTCCATTTGGAATGCAGGAGATGAATTATGTGTTGCGGCCACTGCATGGATACACTATGCACGATGGAGATGAAATTCATGTCTTCCTGAAAGGATTGTAATGCAGGAATTGGTTAACTTTTTGTTTTTGTACTTGGAATACACATGATAAAGTCCTATATATCTTAGGATATCTGACTAGTATAAAAGTGATCTTTATAACAGTCCATGTCTTTATATAAAGAATACTAATGAGGATGACTGTATTATAGCTGAAGATGCATCCAAGTTTGTATGAAGACTAAAATAATGTATAAAGTGTTATCACAGTGTGTATGTTATAATGGTGATTTGTATATGTAATGTTTTTCTATTTATATCAATTTCAAGTTATAATGTAAATAGCAGAGGATGTAATGATAACTATTCAGCTTCCATTCCTTTGATTTCTATTTTCGGTACCTTTGTTCTTTTGAAAATATATTTAGTGTAATAATTTCATTTCATGTGTCAGCTGACGTCTTCCATAACAACCTAAAATAAAAAAAACGGAAAGTGGGAAGGTTTTACTTTCTGTGAAGTCACAAGCAGCATCACAGGGAAGGAAAGTTATGATTGTGATGTGTTAGTACTTCATTCTACAGACCCCTTGCAGCATGTCAGAATGCAGGAYATAACAATAGGTTTCCAATTTTCAGTAGACTGAAGTTCTTTGAGCTGCTTTGAGGTCACATGCAAGCTAGGGGTCCATTGCAAGCCATATCTTGTCAACATCATATCACCTAACGTGAGTCAATTTACCACTGCCAGTTTTCATTGCTATTCACTGATCAAGACAACAGTTGAGTCAAATAAATTAGGCTATAGACTGCCGTCAATCAAGGAACCCTCTGTTATGCACCTTCTCTTGGCTCCCATGTACTCTGGGAATACATTGATCCCACATTTATTGCTCTACTTCCCTAGTTACTGTTGCTATGTTGGACAAGCTAAACTGTGTTTAATGATATACAACACACACCGATTGCTGAAGATTGTAAGTGTCTGTCCTAGAATCGATGCATTCTAAAGGTACATTAAAAAAACAATCCATATTAACTAAAAAATCATATGAATTTGAGTTTGTTGGTCAGACATTCTGTATTCCATTGGGAAAACTACCCACTGTTTGGGTTGACGATCAAACATAGCCGAGACCCATCAGTGTATTTATCTATCTATTTCTATTTATTTTATTGATTGGCCACCATCAATAGTGTACGTAATGCCTAATTCCTCTGTTACAACTGTTGTCTTGATCAGCACAGCAATGAAAGCAGTGGTAAGATATAAAACAACATTTTCCGTTCAATAACATAGCACGCGAGTGGTTCTCTTCACACCTTTTTTTGCACTCTACTAATATAATGATGGCATAGAGTTTATTTTTCGATTGCACGAATTAACGGCATTGCGGCCATGATGGCACCATTTAACAAAAGATTTCTCATTAGCATYCATTGTTAACGGCACCACAATGGCCRTCATGTTTTTGTCTTTTGACTCTCTGGAAATGCTTTCAACCCATCAATAGGAAAGGAGAGTGAAAGACGGGTCCAACAGACGTACCTCAGTAGATGGAATGGGTGGTTTGGACATTCCTTGTTTCTTTTTATTCTTCCCTTTACCATGTCCTTTGGGTGCGCTGCCTCTTTGAAAACCACGGCTTGATCCTCTACCAAAACATATAGCCCTGGGAAGTCTATGGTAATGATTAAAGAGAACATAATATGCTAAATATGTCACTGGTCAAGAACCATGCGATAGACCTCTTTAGCTTCGTTGTTTGTTGTCCACATTCCAGACCATGTGATGCCACTCTTGGGAGTTGATTCTTTCATGTGTAAATATTTTAACATGTTCGTCATAAAAGAATAATTCTCAAGGGAATGTCATGTGATCTGAAATGGGCGATTTTGCATACAAGAGTTCTATTGACCACACCATATTCAATCTGTGAGTTACTTAGACTTCACAAAAGCAGAGATTGTTGCAAGGATAAAAACACTATCAACTTCTATATAATGAAAAATCGTGAAGGAGTCAGCAAAAATTGTTACTGAACATTGTTACAGTAATGCATTGTTTTGTATAGGAATTTTCACAAGCTGAAAAATCCCTACAAAGCTGTTGAGACTTCCCTCATTATTTCCTACGCTTCATTTGCATTCCTTTCAATAAATGGATTCCTACTTAGTCTTATCAACCCCCCCCCCCTTTCAGTTCAATGTTGTTTCTGTACAAGGTACTCCCCTCACTCAAATCACAAGCTGATCATCTCAACATTGAAGGGGGAGAGGGAAAGTGATAGAGTTTGTGTTTTGTGTTTTGATGGGAAGGGGAAGATTAGTTTGAGTCTCAACTTGCTTTGGACTGGTTTGTAGTCTACAGCCCTGGCCTCAGGCTGGGAGAGCTTGATACAGTATAGTGTGACAACCCTATTGTGTGACAACCCTATAGTGTGACAACCCTATCGGTGACAACCCTATCGGTGACAACCCTATCGGTGACAAACCTATAGCGCAACAAACCTATAGTGTAACAACCCTATAGTGTGACAATCCCATTGTGTGTTAAGGTTCCCTATTGTGTGACACCCCTATTGTGAGACAACCCTAACAAGGTTCCCTATTGTGTGACTTCCCTATTGTGTGACAACCCTATTTAGAAGTAGCTTAAATTACCAACCTCTGTTTTTGAGAGGCACTGTTGTTATTTTCTCCTGTAGTAGGTTTTCCATTCTTAGAAGTGTTATCAAAAATGGAGAGAAAACAAGTTGTTAGTAACAGCTTCCACAACAAAATATTGCCACACAACATCATTGTTGATTACCTGGTCATGCTGTGTTGTGCTGTCTGTGTCCATGGGTAGATCTGTGGGAGATTTCTGTGCTGAATCAGCAATGCTTGTAGTGCTCTCAGCCTGTTTTCTTAATTACAATAAAATACCTAGTTTATTTTGGAAGATGACTGTATTGCTGAGGTGTGGCAGTACATCATCCTCCTCCATTACCATCAGTAAATATTACAGTATGATCATCCTTTCCACTAAATAATCCCTTCCAGAATTATCACCATCATCATTGTCACTATCTTTATCATCATCATCTCCATCACCAGCAGCAGCAGCAGCACCAACATCACCCCCATCATTATCAGCATGTACCACCACCATCATGAATAATATGATCATGAACATCACCATCACTATCTATCATCAACATCATCACCATCATCATCATCACCACCACCATCACCTCCACCACCATCATCATCACCACCATCATCAACAGGAGCTCCTGACCATCATCATTACCAACATCATCATCACCACCATCATCACCACCCATCATCACCATCATCTCATCATCACCACCATCATCATCATCACCATCATCATCACCATCATCATGACTATTATCATCACCATCATCATCACTATTACTACCACCACCATCATCATTACCATCATCTACATCACCACCATCATTACCACCCATCATCACCATCACCATCATCATCACCATTATCATCACCATCATCATCACCATTACTACCACCCCCATCATCACCATCACCACCACCCCCATCATCACCATCATCATCATCACCACCACCACCATCACCACCATCATCACCCTACCTTTTCATCTTTCTTTGTAATCTGCTTGTTCTATTGAATCTGAAGTCTGATGGGTACTGATGCAACTCCACCAGGTGTTTCTACAAATAACCAAAGCAAATGAATACTTATCTCCATTCATAATATGAATCATGGGCTTCCTGTGTGACTACCACAGGGAACCCAAATGATCAATTAGGTCTTTACCTTCCTCTCCTCTTCTCCATTGAATTTATCAGGGCAACTCTCTACCAGACATCTGTACTGGATGAGGAAATGTCAGAAATTATTGGTACCTAGACTAGAACTATATATACCCTCCATAGACCCTCCCCACCCATTGGAAATTCCAATCCCCCTCCAAGAGGCAGGTATGGAAATTTTCTGATAAATACTACAAGGTATGTCCTCAGACTGTCACTGTAAAAGTTTTATTTGACAACTATGAAAAATTGTAATATATTTTTCGTAGCTTGTCGCAAAAGAAAAATTGAAGGGTTGGTACATTAAATAAACGATATAAGACAAAAAACGTCTCAAACAATGCCAAGGTAAGAGAATAAAGGATGTCATAAATATGTAATGTGTAGTTGCATTTATAAATTATCCATAACCCCCCCACAGAAGAAAAAAACCCCTCCTGTACCCCCAGAAATGACTAAGTTTCTTACATACAAACTCTGTAACTTTATTCTTTCTCTGGCCCCTCAGAAATCTGTGGGGGAGGGGGGTATGGATCATTTCTGGAACTACACCTAATTGAAAAAACGTAGTCGGGTTCGAGAAGGTCATATCATCGAAGCTAAGACCGAAATGGATTTTGGGTACCCCGAGATGGTATTATATTTGCATATAGACATGTAAAAATGCACAGTACAGCAAAGTCGGACGACCTAGATTAACAACATGCCAAAGCCATGATGCATAAAATGTGCACAGGAAGGGAAAACTGCAATACGCATGAAATTAGCATAATTATTTGTCTTCCCATGCTCCCCTTCGGTCTTAGCTTTGATGATATGACCTCTTTTTGAACCCGACAACATTTTTTCAATTAGGTGTAGACACAATCCATCAAGTACCATATGTTTTTTTCTTGCGATCATCTGAAAGAGTGTGTCATGGTTCTCCAGAATGTGCAGGTCCAACAGAAAACTCGTTTGGAAGGTCTTCTTGCAGAACCGACATCTGTTCCAATGGCAGCTTCTGTAATGTGCTTCATACCTTGAACAATATTCAAAAAATAGAAATTATTTAGGATATCAAAGGACTGCATGACATATAGAGTGGACTTTAAAAAGGGTCTAAAGGTTAGAATATTTTCTGGAATAACTAAAAAAAATCTCTAATTCTTAATAAATACTATTATCATTGAAAACCCCTTCCCCAAGGTTATTTTCATTGGCCAAGTTGGAACTAAGTACTAGCAGAAATATCATGATTTGTTAGTATCTCCCTTAGGCATCGGCAAATAATGTTTTTAGCTAATCACTAACAAATTGCAATATTTTGCTTAACCTTGTACAATTATTGCTTTATAATATATCCTTACCTTACAGTACTGGTAAAACATTCATGGCAGCCATGGACTGAACATTCAAACTCTGGCTCAGCACTGAAGAACAAATTCCATATACTTGTAAATAAATCCCAAACAAGTGAGCATAAATTACCAGTGGGGTGGGGTGGGGTGGATTAGAGTTCCAGATAGTTTTGAAGGCAAGGAATGAAACTGAGAATTGATGGAAATCGTTTTGAAAATCTTTAAACAGGATTGAGAGTAGAAGAAACGTTACGTTAAACTCTGCACAGCCAAGTAAGGAGAGAATATTCCCTTTTTGGTTATTGTCAGCACCATGATTCTTTTACTAATGCAGCATATATAGTAATTGACCAATCAGAGACCGCATGCATAGTGCTCAAGGTGACTATATAATAATAGTGAAAAGATCATACTGCTAATTCTGTTCACACGTATGCAGTCTGCTTTGCGAATACACTCAATGTACCATACACTTAACATATAGATCTTTACTGAGTGACAAAAACACATTTCATAAATATATAAGTTAGTGTAATATATGCAAGTGTAAATTATAGGTAATAAAACAATAAACAAGTAAAACAGCTTTTATGTGCTCTGTTTAGTAATACAGCACTTGGGATGTGCCAACAGCACTCAAAAATCATGAGAACACTTCTTCTTATCCTATGCTCATTCTTTTCTTCACAGTCACTTCTTTCGTGCTATCATTACTTCATGCATGCAGTGTTAACAAAAATACAGCACTGTTTTTGACAAATGAGAGCATATGTATAGTAATGAAGAAATAGGAAATGTGTGCTGTGTGCATGCAGTACTTAATGAAGCACGCAGGGGTTGGCAGAACATGGGAGAAGTGCTACTAGGAGCGTGATGCTTAGAAAAGTGCTTCTCACCACTTCTAAAGTTTTCTGCCAAGTGCTTTATAACTCCACGCAGCACAGCAAGCAAGTTGTTTATTTCTTTTATAAAATACAATTTACAATAACAGTTATTTTGGATAGGAATGATGTAACTGAAAGTGTGGGCACATGCTGTGTGATCTCATAAAGCATGGGCTCCCAACCAATCAGAAGGCAAGATTTATTACAGTTGTTTCATAAATAGATTGTTTGCCAGAAAAGTCAAATGCTGTTTCAAAACAACAGCATTACATTGTATTTAACTGCACTTTGTATTCACAAACCTCTCGATAATTTCTTCCAAATCTTCACCAAGATTGACTTGTTTCCGAAGAATATTACAAAATATATCGCCTTCCTAAAGCAAATAAGTCAAAGTTAAGATATTTCATTGACTAATAGGTTTAAAATAGCACAAATTTGAGCTCTAGAACAAGTTAAAATAGTACAAAGTTCTTACACTTTACCTCAAAGAATGGATGCCCCGGGGGAAGCAGACGTTTAAACGGACGATAAGACCAAACTAAAGCCATACTGTCTTCTTCTTCTCATGCTAGAAACATTTAAGTTATAATAAATAAACAAATGAAAGATAAGATGAAAAACCTGTTTCTAGAAAAGCCAGCAAAAGCAAGCAAAAGACAAAGGTAAATTTAATCTAATAACTAACATTTTCAGAACGATCGTTTGATAAAAAAAACATGCTGAATCTATTGACTTTGCTCTTTTAATTATTGTCCTTACCTTTGGTGTTTTTTAAACCAAATAAATAAATAACAAGAGGAAAGACTTTTCCTCTTATTTTTTGATCTTGACAAGTTTTTTGCTTGAGAGCCCGCTGACCGCATAATATTATTGCAAAATGGGCTCAGGTAGTGACGTAACATTGTCAACACGAGGTCCACACATATCCGGATATTTTTGAATCCACAACTTTTTTTTGACGAATACGGTAGACGAATCCGCAACTTTTCTCTGACGGTCTAAAGAGTGGAAATTTTTGAATACCGTGTGAATCCGACGTCGTGTGAACGTAACCTCGTCTCGATCCAGTCTTTTCCGCGCTAATCTTTAGCGCGGGCCTCCTGTTCATGCTCAAGTGCGCATGCTCTGTTGACCTAAGATTTTGATATCCGGATACGTATCGCTTACGTGTGGAAGGTCTAAAACGATTCGAATACGCTACGTCTGGACGCGAATTTCTTTAAATCCGCGACGAAAAGTTGCGGATTCAAAAATATCCGGATACGTGTGGACGGGGCTTAAGAATGCGTTGCGTGTCTCCGCATTTTCCGGCTGCTTTAGATAATGCCATAATTGCGCAATAGTACCCAGGGGTCTTTTCGGCAGTACCCAAGAGTCCTTTGCGGGCATATGATACAGGGATATCATGTAAGTTGCCAATTTATCAAAGTGATTGATTGGAGGTGGGGCTGCGATTCACGTATCGGCCAATTAATGTCTACGCATATTCTTTTTTCGCTAGTTGTTGAAATTCAATGCTCAGTGCAGGATTAGGAATTACTCGGGTGTATAAACTGACCAAGAACTAGAAAGCTCAAAATGTCGTGAAGACATTTTTCCTTTATTTCTCTAGATTCCCTATGTCAGCCCAGTCGTAAATGCCTTTGGGCCGGTTTATTTTAGCTTCTCAAAGCAGTATTCCATGCTCTAACTTAAACTAGGAAAATAAGGCTTTTAATCTTTTCGCGAGTGAACAAATGCCATGTTTAATTAGTAAAGTTGGCGACCTTCAATTGCCCGTGTTTAAGTCATAGTTTATTTGCCAGATTTCTACTTGAGATTTGATAATGCAAGCGCTATAAACGATTATAGAAAGCATAAAATGTTTCGTTGGAGATTTAAGTTTGGTTTGCATGTGTTATCGTATGGATTAAGCTGGATTTTAAAAAATACATGGTACTGCCGGCCATTGAGTGTTTTGGAATCATTGACCGGCTGCCGGTCAAAACACTTCTATATGAAAATACTAAATGGCCGGCAGTTTCATTTTTTCCAGGGATTTTTCTCTGCTAGATTTACGGATTTGGGTAGACAGGAATAGGTTACTCAGAAATAGAAAAGCTTCACTATTCTATATTCTATGACTTTAAAAATCAAAAACGAAAAACGAAAAAAAGGACAAAAAGCGTGAGTAGGTATAATGTTTAGGTCACCCATCCAAGTGCT